GAGGTTAATGGAGAAGTTGGGGTTAATATAGGGTGGAGAAGGAAGTATTTAATAAAAGCTTAGGGTAACAGCCTCCATTTAAATGATTATTGTTTTGCATGTCTCATTGTTTTTTTCCATTTCTTTCTCTATTTCCTTCTCATATCTGTTGAGTTTAAGTGAGGTCATACAGGCAGTGCAAGAGTAGTTGGTATTTGCTGCATTTCATTCTTGGCCTGTTAGGATAGTCCTGCAAAATCCTGTATTCTTTCTAATCGCCTATGTGATAATCCTTTTTTTCTGTTTTGCTTTGAAGTGTTGCAGTTTGTAATACTGAGAAAATGAGTAGGTGCTTTTCAGGTTTCTTCCTACCTGCAAGGATTTAGCTTTGATCATTTTAGTAGCTGGGTTGCAAGGGAAGTTGTTACATTCTGGTTATGTTCAGTGTCAGATTTTACTATGCTGTGATGGTACCGGCTGTTAAAAACTAGTCTTTTTTTGCCTCATCTTGTGAACTTTAAAAGAATTTTGTTGATCTTATTTCTAATATTCCAAGCTGAGGTGGTACCAGTTTGTATCGTCACTGCTCCACTGCTATATTTCTCAAAACCACAGCTGTAAAATACACAGATACGAGATCTTTTTCCACTTTTTTTTTCCTGCTTAAGGTGGAATAAAGCTCATTATCTGGCAATCATGGATTCCTTGGAAGATAAGATGATGAAAATAAAATTCCTGAAAGATGGTGAGCAGGGAGACAGTTGTCTCTTGTCACCCAGGGTGTGGTGCAGGCCATGCTGCCAAGACCCACCACCCAAACCTGCCATTCTTTCACCCAAAAGGTGCTGGGGATCCCCAGTGCCCAGTGGGAGGAATCCTGCCTTCCTGTTCTCAGCCTGGGGGCAACGGGACCATCTCTGGGAGATGCTTGGAGAGTCTCAGAGAAGCAGCACCTCGCTGGAGAGGTGTCGCACTGGCAGCACTTCTCAGCGCAAAATCAGCAGTGAAGCTGCTTCCTTAAAGGAGAACAGAGGGTCAGTCCCTGCAGGACTCTGCTATGATTGATTTTTAACTAGAATTTGGTTTTCTTCAAAACAAAAAAGCACCAAAAAACCCAAGCCTTTCCTCCTGTGCTTATCAATTATACTTCTCACTTTAACCTGTTCTTTTAATTTTGTTTCAGACTGTGTAACCCATGAGTCTTGTTTTCTTTCTTCCTTCCAGACAATCAAATTTTTGAATGATAATATAAGAAGAGGAATTGAGAATTACTATGATGATTTAGACTTCAAGAACATAATGGATTCTGTTCAAAAGCAGGTTTGGGGTTTTGGTTTTTGGTTTTTTTGGGCTTTTTTTCCTGAGACTAATTCAGTGCTGAGGTGTGGTAGGTCCTTGGTGATGGCTTTGAGTTTTTCCAGTGATGTGATAATCAAATTCTTACTGATGAGGGGGATGAGATCTCATGCGTCATCTGTTACGCGTCACTGAGGTCAGGGCTCCTCCAGCATCTCAACTGGCATTTGAAGCCCTCTAAATCACCAGAAGAAGCAGGGACAAAATGCATCTTTTGCTGCATTTGAAGCCCTCTAAATCACCAGAAGAAGTGGGGACTAAATGCATCTTTTGCCTTGGTAGGTGTGAGTTGGATGGTTAAGGCCAGATCCTGCAAACGTGTAGGCTTATAGAGGCCCCACAGCCAAAAGGCCAGATCCTGCAAACGTGTAGGCTTATATCTGGCCCCACAGCCAGATTCAGACAAATTCAGCCTAAATTTCATCCAAGTTCTTGCGCTCAGCATTTCTGCTGACTGATCCAAGACATTCAAAAGCATCCCGTTAACAGGAGGCACTGGATAAGGAGAAATTAGCTGGCAATTAGGCTGTTGGAACCTGGGCTGTTGTATTTTCACTTGAGGACACGTATTGAGCTCTTTAACAAGGTGGTTATTCAAAAGAAATGCCCATGGAAGCACATATACTTGTAATTAAAATTCAGAAATTGTGTTAAGCCCAGCTGAGCACATGTGAGCACATGAGCACGCTTAATGGCACATGTAGTTGACTCACAGCCTTCGTTTTTTTTAAGGCTGGTGTGTTGAAATGTTTATTGTATTATTGAAGGGTTCTGCCATACAGATCAGAGACTATAGAAGAAGCAGAAAACGTTCAGAAATGTGATGTCAGGGCCCATGTGATGTCAGTGGCCATGCCAAATAGTGATTTAAACCAAAAGTGAACTTAGGAAGTGATATGTATATTTTATGACATCGTTATGGAGATGGCAGCCTGCTTTGAAAAACAAAGTTAGCATGGAAAGTCTGTCAAAAGCAAACCATCCTGAGGAAATTTTGTCATTGGACTTCATAATGCTTTAAAGTTTCCATGCACTGCCCAAAATTATGTATGCGTACAGGGAATTTATATTTTAATGATTAAATAAACTGTTCCTTTTCCCTTTGACTTATTACAAATATTCACCTTATATTTTAAGCAATGTAAGCTTACAGTATCTGTCCAATTTAATTTCTACTACATTACACCCAAAATGTTTTGGTGAGGTTATTTTTATGCCTGATAGCAACTCTTTGACTTATTTAGAAATATTGTCACGATCCTTAAAAAAAATTGAAGAGTTGTATTACAACTCGAGATGGAGCAAACATAAAAACATTGCTTAATGATGTCCAGAACCGAAAGAATAATTTTTCAACTTGGAAAAGTTGGGAGGTGGAACTTATCACTGAGTACTTTGCCCTGACACCTTGATGAGTGATGGAAGGACACCACCTATATCTTTAATTCTTTTCAGTTGTATCTATACTATACATTCTATGATATACATGCTGATAAAATGATAGAATGGCTGGGTAGCTGGGTGCTTCTAGAATTTTTTTATTCTTACTTTGCTTTCTGCTTATTAGAAGAGTTTCTGATTTATTTTTTTTTTTCCTCTTTGCCGTTTGTGTTGTTTTTCCAGTTTAAGTGCTGTGGTGGGGAAGATTACAAAGATTGGTCACAAAACGTGTATCACAACTGCGCGGCGCCGGGACCGCTGGCCTGCGGGGTGCCTTACACTTGCTGTGTCACAAATAAGGTAAGTCCTGGCATCGCTGCTCTCTGCCAAGATGCTGGCACTCCCTTAAAAAGGTACCTTACTTGAGAAAGTTTTGGGGAAGAAGCGAAGGGAAATGGATCCATCAGGAATGATGGATCCATGGGTCTTGACAGCTTGAAAAGGAGAAAATAATGCATTAGATGTGGTGATGCTCTGTGTTACTGTCCCGCTACACAGTCCTAGAAACACAGAAGGGGTCTTGGGAGCTATTCTAACCTCATGGCTTGCCCAGACCAGGGCTGCCTAAACTTAAATTTTGCTGGTGTTTTCCCCAGGTTTGCTGCTTCAGCTTTGCTAAGAAGCCTGGGTCCTGATGGGTCCCATAGGTGGGAGCTAGAGTGATGTGCACCAGCTGCTGTGTGAATTAAAAACTAAACAGAATGACCCCATCATCCAGAAAAAAATAGATATGTGGGCAAATGACCTCAAACTTGGTGCATCCTTGTGGATGCAGGTCTAGACTGGAGCTGCTGCTCTGCCCTAACCAACCCATCCTTGAAAACTGCCTGCCTTGCCACCCTGTAAAACCCTCCCTGTCTGCTGGAGTCTGGGACAGTTTTATCAGCCCTCGATGAACTGGTATTAACTGGTGCTGGCAGCACTAGGAGCAGGCATTAAGTTCGACGTGTTTATTTTTCCATTTGAGGAATGGATGTAATGCTGAATTTGATAAAGAGCTATTCCTCAACTTTAAACCAGTATGGACACTCCCTGCCTCACTGGGTTTTGATCTTTGGTCTGAACATTAGGGAGAAACTGAGTATGTGTAAGAGCAGCCACAGTAGAGCTCATGATGGATAGCCTACTGGTGCCTGTTATGTGCTGCCCTTTCAATGTTTGCCTTGAGCGTGGCTGTTTAATTCAGAAAAGGGAAAATAAAGTCAATAATTGTGTCAGTAATCCTGCTAGGTTTCGCTGAGAAATGTGTATAATATGAAGGCGTTTATTACGTGTACTTACGCATTTTTTGTGTATGAGAGTCTGTTTAAATCTGTGCTGAGCTTTGATTTATCTTCAGAAAGCAAAGCTAAACAGTTATACTTTAAGTCTTAGGTGTTTGAGACTAAGAAAGTTGTGTATATGAAAATAGTATCTGCTGATTCACAGCTGCACTGAGCAGCAGAGCTCAGGATTTTGCCCTCATTTGATGGTAAATGAAGATAGAACTGGCTAGTAAAGAGCTTTTAGAGGTCATTCAAAATACTGCTTGTTCTTCTGTAGCTCTCATTTCTCTGTTGAAGTCTTATTTTAAAAGGTCAGGTGATGTGTGTAGAAATACAGGGTACTGCGAAGGCAAAGCACTGCAATAATCTGTCACGAATAATGCCAGGTGCCTTTTCAGCTGTGACACATATAATTGGACATGTGGATTTCAGATGCGACTTGCCAGGCAGGAATGTGCTAAAATAAAAACTTTTCCGACAAAAACAGGAAGAATATTCTCTGTATACTGTGTTGGCAACTGGGGAGGCTACTTGCAGCCAAAAGGTAGCTTGCAGAGCGTTAAGGTCAGGGAAGTTAACTGAAAGGTGGGGAGAAGCCCCAAGATAACAAGCGAATTTCTTATTTAAGGGTAGGCTGTTTGGTCTGTTAGAGCTCGTGGCTTTGCCACTCACGATGCCATCGATGTGCCTTGTGAAATCCCAGTGGTACGAACACGTAGTCGGCAGGACTAACGCTGTGGCTACCTTGGAAAAGAAAAAAAAAACCCAACCAGAAGATGCATAAATCTTGTGTGTTTGACAAATGCTTCCAAATACAGGCTGGTTTCTGTCCTGGAAAACTACAGATATGGTTTGTGATTACTCATTCACTTTGTAGTCATGGAAAACTCCCGCTAATGTCAGCGGTTGGATTCTGATCCTCTGAAAAAGCCCTGTGCTAAGATGAGCCAGGCTCATGTTGAGGGGGCTCTGAAGGGACTGTTTTCAAGTCAAAGTATTTATTGAAGACTTACACTGGCATAACAGATAAAAATTAGTCCACAAAGGCCTACAAACCTCGTTTCTAATGCATTTATCTCCACTGTTTACATTTCCTCGTGTCGCGATACCCTGTTAGCAAATGCTGTGTTTAAAATTAAAGGCTGTGACTGTGCTCCTTGTTGGCAAATATTTAGCTGATGGCTCTGTGTTTGCCTGATAGGCTCAAGCATTTTGTAAATGTGAAGTCTCTCGCAGCAGACGCAGCAACACACTGATGCCTGGTTTTGCAGACTTTCACTTCCAAGAGCATTTATTAGCTGTGGTTGATAGACGGGTGCTTGTTATATTTCCCCAGCAGACCTCTATTTTAGGAGTGTGCCCAACCTTGTTTGTCAGCCAGCTGTGAGTTCAAAGTGAGAGCACTCTTTGGGTGCTTATAAACTTGACCCTGGCTGGTGTTTTTGCCATTTTGTAGCATCCAGCTTCCTCCCAACTTTTGCAAACATCCCTCTTCCTCCTTGTGCAGGTGACCTGGGAACCCCAACCCCGCTCAGAGGCCACCAGCGTTTAGAAATCCTGTCTTTACATCTCATCTTAATTTGGTGGGAGGGGATATCAATACAGTAGAGTTTGCTTTACCATCTTTCTCTCATTTATGTATTCTCATATTCCTCCATGTCTTTGGCTTTGTTCATTGCTTCATTTGATGCCGGTGGGCTTTACATTGGCAGATTTGTGAGTGGTCAGTAGTATTTTCATGTTAGCTTTGCCAAGACAGGTAGAGCTTCAGGACTCAAGCAAAATATTAAATGGCTACAGAAAATGCATTCGTAGTCTGTGATGAGTGCATGCACTCAGTCTTTTTTTAAATAGATGAATTTTATATTCATATATATAATGATGTATAAAAATATATTAGGTTATAAGAAATTGGTCTTGTAAAATTTTCATGTAAGCATTCATAGTATTGGACGTTATTTGAATTTTAGATGTTTCTGAACTTAAATTTGTCATAGTGATGGTACGATGGCTGTGTTAATCCCTGGTTTTCTTAATAAGATGTGTTATTAAGGCCCAAAAATTAAACCCAGCTGTTCATACTGTGCAAAGAGCTGTGGCTTACAGCTCTGTTGTAGCTGGCTTTGGTTTCTGTTGCCATGCTGGATTTTTGGATAGATATGGTTCAAATGTCTTGTGTCATGACACAGTGGCAATGCTGATTTCTCTAAAATCATGTAGAGCTAAAAATACCTCTAAAAATCTGAATCTGACCATGGGACTGCTGGGAAGAAATTGTTGTTGGACTGAGGAGTAACCCTCGTTGTTGCTCTTATGTGAGCTGGGTGAACACAAGAGGAGTAGTAATATATTTTTTTGTGATTTTTGCTTTCTGCTATAGTTTATATTTGTTGCTTTCTTTTCAGACAGCCCTTATCAACACTATGTGCGGATACAAAACCATTGACAAAGAGGTAACGTAACCAGTGTTCACCCTGTCATGGCAAAAGGTGGTACTTTTTTTTGTTTCAGTTATAAAATTGTCTTCTGCATACTTAAATCTGCCAGGCAGTTAAATCAGCAATTTAAATTATTTTATCTGGAATAACTTTCATATATTAAAAAAAAATGAATCATGTTTGGTTGTGGTATCCTCCCTACTTTGTATCTTCTATGATTCCTTGTTTGATGTGCTTGAAGCACGTCTTCCCAAAGCTCATCCACCTTATGCTGATTGCACAATCAATACAAAGAAAGATGCTCCAATACTTTAGAGTAGTGATTTGAGTTGGGGAAAACTTTTAATACTTAAAGCCAAAGTTTCTCACTGAGTAAAATCGGTTTTGGTAAAGCCAACTTAGCTGTTTCTATGTATGAGAGCATATTTTAGTTTTAAGGCTGTAACAGTTATTCTTGGAAGAGGAGTAGGATTTCCTGGGTTGTGTTCACAGCCCTCTCTTCTCTCTAGGAGCAGAATGGGGCCTTTTCCTTCCTCAGTCGTCCCTATTGGGAATAGCCCCAGTGACTCCAGAGTAGAGACTGCACTAATTGTGAAGTGATTAAGCAGTGAAATCAGTAATTGGATCTTCCGAGTTCTCCACTCCTGGCTTTGGAGAGCTGGTGCGGGGGGTTGATCTAAAAAGGCCGTGCTCCCCAGCCCATTTGAGGCACTTGGCGTACAATGCCAGCTTCAGTTGTTGGTTTTGGGGATTACCGGTTATCTTTACATATGACCTGTCTTCATTTAGATTCATTGATTTATGGCTTAATCACCTAAATGTTCCAGCCTGGCTCTAATGCCCAAAGCACTTAAGCATATGCTTAACTTTACCCCATTCATCTGCTTAGGACCCTTTGCAGCCTCAAGTGCTTTCTATATTATGGGTTGGGGTCATGGTGCAGCACAGCTTGCAGGACTGAATCTGAAATCCTCTTGCTCCTGCCCTTTTTAGGTTCTGTTGCAAAGAACTTGGTCTGTCATTTCTGTTTTTCCACTGCTGTACTTTCAACTTGGAAGCAGAGGTAAAAGCTAAAGAGAGACTTCTCTGCTTTCCAAATGGTCTAAAATGAGAATCGGATGCATTTCTTTTAGAGAAGTAGTTGCAAAAAAAGGTTTTAAAAAATTAGGTAACTTGTTCAGGTATGGAACAACTGAAAAACAATCAGAAGAATTAGTGATGTCAAATTCAGTGGGTTTAAAGAGATGGGAAGGAGGACTAAATTTGCCTTCCTGAAATTTGAATTGTCATGTTTTACTGTACCGTACTGCCTGTTTGAATGTCTGCTCTGTTATTTTGCAGCGCTTGAGTGTTCAGCATGTTATATATGTTCGTGGATGCACGAATGCCGTGCTTATTTGGTTTTTGGACAACTACAGCATCATGGCGGGCGTGCTGCTCGGCATATTGCTACCCCAGGTAAGAAGTGGCCAGTGCATTACCCATTAAAAGGAGTATCTAATTTGTTGCTACAGTATGCAAAATCCTATTGAGGTATATTTATTGTTTTTATTTAAATTTGATCTAACTGATAAGCTGAGGTGGCATTCCAGGAGTTTAGTAGCATTGCTGTGACACATTGCAGGATTTGGTGGGTTAATTTGGTTTTCCTTGGTTTTTCTGAGCTCTCTCCTCCCCATAGCTGCATCCACTGAGACTTTCTAATGCTCCGGGGTGGTAATTCTGCTGTATTAGCTCCTCACAGAAATGATCCATTTATACCCCTACGTGTAGAGAATAGCAGTATGAGTTTCTCTCTGTATATATGCCACATCCATGTATTCAACGTATGTATACATGATTTGTAAAAACAGCTGTGAGAAGCATTGAATAGGCAGTATTTGATCTCTGACTAGAGATGCCCCTTTCTTTTGCAGTTCCTGGGCGTGTTGCTATCCTTGCTTTACATAACTCGGGTGGAAGATATCATCACAGAGCACAAGCTGAGTGAACGACTGTTTGAAGAAGGGGGGCAGAGATCTGCCTCTGAGTTTGCTGAAGCTGGCTGCTGCATGTGCTACCCAGGGTGACTTTGGAAACCTCACATACGGTTCAAAAAAAGGCAAATCCACCTGTTCTGGTTTGTGCTGACCATTATAGACTTGCAGGTGTAATGAATCAGCCGCCAGACCAGCATTGGGTCGGCAGTGCACCAATACTGCCCTAGCCTTGTTGCTCCTGGTGTGTCTGCAATCAGAGGCGTACCGGAAAGGCTCTGTGCTGCTGACAACGTTGCTGTGGTATTGTGATGCTGCTGGAAGGTGGGCTTGTTGATAATTAGATCTTTTTTGAGTGATTACTGAGTGATATGCAGCTGGGAAAACTGTTCTGGCAAGATCTGAAGGTAGATTTCTAGGAAGAGCCTTTGTGTCTTGGGATGTCGTGTTTAAATGTTTCTCCTTTCCAACTTTATTTTCTTACTCCTTCCAAAAAGATTTCTTACTGATCAACATGATGAATATTAAACATGTGTTTAATAATTTTTTTTATTCTAATCTTGATGAATTTACTGACAATAATGGATGTGATGCTGAACACTTTCATTGCTCAGTCTTTTGTGCCTTTTAATAATGGGACAAATGCCAATGTCAAAGCAGTCAGGTAATGCTTGATATATTTTTTAATGTGATTTATTACTATCTGGATTTTGTATAAACTTACAGGATGTTTGAATCTTGTACGTACTGTATTTTTCTTCTTTAGTGAATTAACTAGGTAATTTATGATTTTCTTGTTTTTTGACATTCTGTATGTTGAGATGTTTCTAAATTTTATTCTTCTTGTCAAAATAAAAACAAGAAGTTTTTTTTTTAAAAAAAACAACACAAAAACCCGGAAATATTTTGTTTACAATACTTTTTATTTTCTTATCTAGGTTAAGCCTGTCCCTCAAATGCTGAATCAAAAGGTAGAAATACCTTGGGCTGTGATTCTGGCTTGGGTGCTGACTTGCGTGGGGTTTTGGACAGCCACTGAAGGTCTGTGCTTCGTTTGCTCCTCTTAGTGAATTGGAGACAATACTTGGGAAGTCACTGAGAGCTTGGGGCAGGGGGTTCTTGTTTGTTTCTCCTGAGTATTTCTCTGCAGTGTTTCCAGCCCAGCCAGGCTTGCAGGCAAAATGCAAGACCTCATTATCGTGATGCTTCAAATAAACAAATTCAGGATGAGAGTAAAGCGGGTTTGGTTTATATCTTGTCTTTGTGAATCTTTTTTTTTTTTCTAACTTTCTGCTAAGCCACACAGAGGAATATCTGATATTCTTTCCTTGCTGCTTTCCTTCTGCCTTTTTTAAATATTTTTTTTTGTCCTGGATGTGTTGTCTGCTTTCTTCAATACTCAGTGTTTGCTGCTTAGCTCTCTTCCTCCACTGAGTATTTCTGAGGAAGCTTTGTGTGTTTCCAGGAGCTAAAAAATACCTCATCCAGTTCTTCAGTGCTTTCGATGGTGTCTAGGGATGGAGATCCCACAGTGTTATTGAGCCCACCATCCACAGTGCACGGTTATTTCCTACACAGCACACTGTAGCATTGGGTCTCATGCACAGTTGCATATTTAATTGCTCCATATCGTCGTCCCCTGAATTTTCCTGGTCTCTGTTCTGAATAATGTATTTCGGTAAATTAAGAAGCAACGTCTGCTTTAAGGCTGGATTTGTGTACAAAGAGACAGAGGAGGGGGTAAATTAAAGGGACTGAACTGACTGCTGGTGAGAGAGAGGAAGATTGAAGCTGAAACTGGTTTATTGTGGAGAGTGGGCTGGGAAAATGGGACCTGAAATCATCAAGAGCTGAGGTGTTGCCAGAGGCAGAGTCATGCCCTGGCCTTTACCAGGAGGGGCCTAATGCTTGAATTTGAGGTGACAGAAAGGCTGTACTGAATTGTGAAGGAGGTGACAAAGGTAATTTTTCTTTCTTTACTAATAATGTCTTATGAATGTTGTGGAGGTTTGAAGTACAAGATATCTGGGAAAGCAGGAGGTGACAGAGGTGTGGTTAAAATTTGGGTGGTTTAAATAGAACAGGGAGAGTATTTGAGGATACCAGGGAGCAAGGAAATCTGTGGGCTACACTAGATTTTCAACAATCCTCAGTGCTCTCTGTCATATGTTTGAGGGGGTCTCACCTGACAATCATGGACTAAACTTGTGTGACTTTGTTTAATAAATGATTCAAATACTATGACCCTTCTTCTCATTCCCTTTCAGATCTGAGGAAATTAACGCTTTACTTCACAGGTTCATGGTGACCTGAGGGAAGGATGGTGCTGATCAGGAGGTGGCTGGAGGAGAGGGAGGCAGCAGCCCTGTGCTCAACTGCCCCCAGGCACCTGAGCTGTGGGAGACGATGGGGAGACTGCGATGGGGTGGTGAATTTGCTCTTAAATGTGAGGCTTGGCTCTTCTCAACATGCTATGCTAATGTCTCATTAGTAGATTGATTTTTTTGAATGGGTTTGCAGTGTACACAAGGTGTTTTGTGTGCTTATGAGTAGCTCGTTTTATCCTGAGCCGCTGAGCCCACAGGGATGTGATCTGTCCTGCACCATTTGTCCGTGTGAGCCAGGTCTGGAGGGGATGTGGTTTGGCGTTAGTGAAGCTGCGGCTCATCTCTGGCTGGTGCTCCACACCCATCACTGACGCAACTGCTCGTATTTTCTTTTTAAATATGCTCATTGCTGTGCCCATGAGCAAATCAGCTGGAAGCATATGAAGAGCCAGACTCCAAATGTTGTTCTAATCTAATTTTTGCATTTGGCTGTAAGTGAAAACCACTGCGGCCACACTAGCAAATATAATCTGGGCTTTTACAGACAACAGAGAGGAAAGATGATTTTAAAACAAGTGAAGAACGCTTCTTTGTTATCAAGCTGCTTGTTAACAGAGCACATGTGGGAGATGTAATGGTTGGAGGCCATCTTGGGCATAGTGATAATGAAATAATGGAGTTTTTGATTCTCAGAGAAGTCAGGAGAGGGGTTAGCAGAACTGCCACCTTGGACTTCCATAGAGCAGACTTTGGTCTGTTCAGGAGACTGATTGGTAGAGTCTCCTGGGAGGCTGTCCTGACTCCAAAAGGAGTCCAGGAAGGGTGGGCACTATTCAAGAAGGAAGTCTTAAAGGTGCAGGAACAGGCCATCCCCACATCCCAAAAGACGGCCTGGCGAGGTAGAAGACTGGCCTGGCTGAACAGAGAGCTTTGGCTGGAACTCAGGAACGAAAGGAGAGTTTATGGCCATTGGAAAAGGGGGCAGGCCACTTGGAGGGACTTCAAAGACACAGTGAAGCTATGTAGGGAGAAAATTAGAAGGACCAAAGCCCGACTAGAACTCAATCTTGCCATGACTGTGAAAGAAAATAAAAATGCTTTTGTAAATACATGAACAACAAAAGGACAACTAGGAAGAATCTTCCTCCTTTATTGGATGCAGGGGAAAGCACAGTGACTAAGGATGAGGAAAAGGCTGATGTACTTAATGCCTTCTTTGCTTCAGTCTTTAGTAGCAGAACTAATTGTTTGCTGGGTACTCAGCTCCTTGAGGTGGAAGACAGGGATGGGGAACAGAATGAGACCACCATAATCCAAGAGGAAATGGTTAGTGACCTGCTGCACCACCTAGACATACACAAGCCAGAGGGGTTACACCTGAGAGTGCTGAAGGAGTTGGCGGATGTGCTCACCAAGCCATTCTTTGTAATTCATCAGCGGTCCTGGCTAATGGGGGAGGTCCCAGTGGACTGCAAATGAACAAATGTGACAACCATCTACAAGAAGGCCCAGAAGGAATGTCCAGGAAACCGCAGACCTGTCAGTCTGACCTTGGTGCCAACAAATCATCATGAGTTCCACTACACACTATTTATGGGACAGTGAGATGATCAGGCCCAGTAAACGTGGGTTCCTGAAGGTCAGGTCTTGCTTAACAAACCCGATCTCCTTCTATGGCAAGGTGACCTGCTTGGTGGATGAGGGAAAGGCTGTGGATGTTGTTTACCTGGACTTCAGTAGAGCCTTCAATACTGTTCCCCACAGCATTCTCATGAACAAACTGGTTGTCTAAGCCTTGGATGGGTGTACACTCTGCTCGATCAAACACTGGCTGGATGGCTGGGCCCAGAGGATTGTGGTGAATGAAGTTAAATCCAGTTGGTGGCTGGTCACAAGTGGTGTTCCCCAGGGCTCAGTGTTTGGGGCCACTCTTGTTTAACATCTTTTTCAATTATCTGGTTGGAAGGGATTTAGTGCTTTCTCAGTAAGTTTGCAGATGATGCCAAGTTAGGTGGAGTGTTGTTCTGCTTGATGGTAGGAAGGCTCTGCAGAGGGACCTGGACAGGCTGGATTGATAGACTGAGGCCAATTGTATGGGCTTCAACAAGGCCAAGTGCTGAGTACTGCCCTTGGGTCACAACAACCCTGTGCAGCACTACAGGCTTGGGGAAGAGTGGCGGAAGAGTGGCTGGAGAGCGGCCTGGTAGAAAAGGACTTGGGGCTATTGATTGATAGCTGACTGAACACAAGCCAGCAGTGTGCCCGGGTGGCCAAGAAGGCCAATGGCATCCTGGCCTGCATTGGGAATAGTATAGCAAGCAGCACTAGAGAAGTGATTGTCTCATTGTACTTGGCACTGGTGAGGCCACACCTTGACTACTGTGTTCAGTTTTGGGTGCCACTGTATAAGAAAGACATTGAGGTCCTGGAGAGGGTCCAAAGAAGGGCGACAAAGCTGGTGAAGGGTCGTGAAAATAAGTCTTATGAGAAGCAGCTGAAGGACTTCGGGTTTTTCAGTCTGAAGAAAAGGAGGCTGAAGGGAGACTTTATCACTCTCTACAACTACCTGAAAGGAGGTTGTAGCAGGGTGGGTGTGGGTCTCTTCTCTCAAGTTACAACCAATAGGACAAGAGGAAATGGTCTCAAGTTATGCCAGGGGAGGTTTAGGTTAGACATTAGGATAACATTTACACTGGAAGGGTTATCAAAGACTGAAACAGACTGCCCAAGGAAGTGGTGAAATAACCATCCTTGGATGCATTTAAA